CCAACCATCCTGTCTACTAACTAGTGTTAATGTTCTTGTAGGAATGTAAAATTCAATATAAAATCTGTATTTCCTATTTAATGCACAATTTCATGAGGGCATTTTGTCTTTAGAGAATCATTAATGTCGAAATTCTTCAAATTAGAAGCCACTAATTTGTTTGTTCTCACAAAGTTTGAGATATTTTAGTCTATTAATTGTTATTTTCACTCCAGATTTCTAGAAGTTGTATTTAATTCAGTAGTTTCATTTCTGATTGTTCAAGTTTATGGCAGAACAAAAAGAATTCGTTGAAGAATTTGTTAAGCACATTTTGATGGTTTTATCACATTGTTTACAAGAGATGCTATTCCAAATCAGTTCTATTAAAAATGTGTGTTTTTATAATTACCAATTCCCACTTGGTGATTATTTAAAGACAATCTGACATTCTTGTGTCCCATCACCATCCAAATGCCCAAAACTATTGACTGATGTTTCAGTATGTGATAGCACCATAAGAAATCTATTGCCTGACATTTTACAAAAAACAAATCTGTATTTTTTGCCAGACATTTCCGTGGCTGATATTTCAGTAGTGACACCATAAAAAATGTTTTATCTGTTGCATAACATTTCATTGTGTGACACAATAAGAAAGTAAACTTTCTGAAATATTACAATATAAAGTCCTTTACCGATTCCCTGACATTTCTATGACTTTAATTGTGATTACACTATTGACAATTCTACATTTTTTGCCTGACATTTCATTGCTACAATACTAACAAGTCTTGTATCTATTACCTGACATTCCATTGCTACAATACTAATAAGTCTTGTATCTATTACATGACATTTCATTGCTAAAATACTAACAAGTCTTGTATCTATTACCTGACATTCCATTGCTACAATACTAATAAGTCTTGTATCTATTACCTGACATTTCATTGCTACAATACTAATAAGCCTTGTATCTATTCCCTGACATTTCATTGCTACAATACTAACAAGTCTTGTTTCTATTACCTGACATTTCAGTGTGATAACACTATAAACAATTTACCATCTATTGTCTGACATTTCATTGCTACAATACTAACAAGTCTTGTATCTATTCCCTGACATTTCATTGCTACAATACTAATAAGTCTTGTATCTATTACCTGACATTTCATTGTTACAATACTAATAAGTCTTGTATCTATTACCTGACATTTCATTGTTACAATACTAATAAGTCTTGTATCTATTACCTGACATTTCATTGTTACAATACTAATAAGTCTTGTATCTATTACCTGACATTTCAGTGTGATAACACTATAAACAATTTACCATCTATTGTCTGACATTTCATTGCTACAATACTAACAAGTCTTGTATCTATTACCCGACATTTCAGTGTGATAACACCATAAACAATCCTACATCTATTACCTGACATTTTATTGCTACAATACTAATAAGTGTTGTATCTATTAAGTGACATTTCAGTAGGATAACACTATAAACAATTGACCATCTGTTACCTGACATTTCATGGCTACAATACTAACAAGACTAATAAGTCTTGTATCTATTACCTGACATTTCAATGCTACAATACTAACAAGTCTTGTATCTATTACCCGACATTTCAGTGTGATAACACCATAAACAATCCTACATCTATTACCTGACATTTTATTGCTACAATACTAATAAGTGTTGTATCTATTAAGTGACATTTCAGTAGGATAACACTATAAACAATTGACCATCTGTTACCTGACATTTCATGGCTACAATACTAACAAGACTAATAAGTCTTGTATCTATTACCTGACATTTCATTGCTACAATACTAATAAGTCTTGTATCTATTACCTGACATTTCAATGCTACAATACTAACAAGTCTTGTATCTATTACCTGACATTCCATTGCTACAATACTAATAAGTCTTGTATCTATTACATGACATTTCATTGCTAAAATACTAACAAGTCTTGTATCTATTACCTGACATTCCATTGCTACAATACTAATAAGTCTTGTATCTATTACATGACATTTCATTGCTAAAATACTAACAAGTCTTGTATCTATTACCTGACATTCCATTGCTACAATACTAATAAGTCTTGTATCTATTACCTGACATTTCAGTGTGATAACACTATAAACAATTTACCATCTATTGTCTGACATTTCATTGCTACAATACTAACAAGTCTTGTTTCTATTACCTGACATTTCAGTGTGATAACACTATAAACAATTTACCATCTATTGTCTGACATTTCATTGCTACAATACTAACAAGTCTTGAATCTATTACCTGACATTTCAGTGTGATAACACCATAAACAATCCTACATCTATTACCTGACATTTTATTGCTACAATACTAATAAGTGTTGTATCTATTAAGTGACATTTCAGTAGGATAACACTATAAACAATTGACCATCTGTTACCTGACATTTCATGGCTACAATACTAACAAGACTAATAAGTCTTGTATCTATTACCTGACATTTCATTGTTACAATACTAATAAGTCTTGTATCTATTACCTGACATTTCATTGCTACAAGACTAACAAGTCTTGTATCTATTACCCGACATTTCAGTGTGATAACACCATAAACAATCCTACATCTATTACCTGACATTTTATTGCTACAATACTAATAAGTGTTGTATCTATTAAGTGACATTTCAGTAGGATAACACTATAAACAATTTACCATCTGTTACCTGACATTTCATGGCTACAATACTAACAAGTCTTGTATCTTTTGCCTGACATTTCAGTGTGACAACACTGTAAACAATCCCACATCTATTGCCTGACATTTCATTACTACAATACTAACAGTTAGTCTTGTATCTATTACCTGACATTTCAGTGTGACAACACTGTTAACAATCCCACATCTATTGCCTGACATTTCATTGCTACAGTACTAACAAGTCTTGTATCTATTACCTGACATTTCAGTGTGACAACACTATAAACAATCCCATATCTATTACCTGACATTTCATTGCTACAATACTAACAAGTCTTGTATCTTTTGCCTGACATTGTTGTGACACCATTGATTGATCAACAGTGAAAACGTTGCTGTGATGCACCTTGATGTAATAAAACAGACTGGCGAACCATATATAAAATTGCAGATCAATTTAGAAACACAGAGCGACAAAATGGGAAAACTCCTAGACTATCAGCTGAAAAACAGAAAATCCATTGTGTTAGCTTCACGTGGGACAAGTCTGTCGAGATCTGCTGACAGACTCAAAATCAATATTGTCACACCATTACGCAATACCCATAGCTTTCGTTACGTATACTTAACACCCCGATAAATGAATGTTTTATTAAATTGCTTTCGGACATGATGACTTAGCCATCTTAATAAGCATGGGACAAGACAAAACGGAAACCAATGACTTGTGAAATCATTACCGCAGGTTTTACGCGACTTATGCATCATTATCGGCGAAGAGCTTGAAATTGGCATGTAAACATACATTCTTCATCAGTCTCGGTTCTCTGACATTGGCAGGAAATGGTGTTGAAAATACTTCAAAGCAAGTTCATTTTCCTCTAGAGATGCAATGAGTTTTACACCCTGTTCATACTCCTTAAGTTTAGTTTCAAGGGGAACAAGTTGTTGACTGTTTTGTTGGACATCAAAGAACAAGAATGGCTGAGGGTCTACTCACACTCATCATTACTCTCGTTAACACGTGCTGATGGGTTTTAAAAGTATACCTTGTCAACAATTTGGGTATTATAGGAATTTGAGGCCTGTATTTTTGTGAAATACAAGTTTTATGGGGAGTTGGTATTAGTGAGACACAAGTTGTATGGGGGATGAATTTTGGACACACAAGCTGTATGAGAGGAATATATTTCAGCACAGGGTCCCTTAAATAAAGCTGACCATGACAAACACACCAGTGATTGCCCCTTTAACATTTGATAATAGATTTATGCAGTTGAAACAGAGTGGCAGGTGCATAAAACTCTGTAATTAACGAATTAAAAATTTAGATATCAATAAGAACATCTTTGTGGAGAATTTGATATACAATCTCATCATACTTTGAGATCACTGCCAAAAACTGTAACTAAATATTGGAAACTGTTTTTTCTGGCATGACTATAGCTTTGATGAATTATTTCTGAAAAGAAAACAATACATGAGAAATGATTTAGATGTAATAAACAAAATATAATCAACAATATGGTGTAAAAAAACAACTTGACTAGACTGGGATTGTAGCCCTAAACTTCAGGCTGCTAAACTTGCACTTTAACCGATTGAGCTACCTGGTCGATAAAAAATGTCCTGGCCTACTAGTGCTACAGTTATATCCAAACGGAAGTTAAGGGGAGGTAACTGCATATAGGAAAAACTACAGTGCAATGGGACAGGGATCTTTAAACAAAACAGAAATCTGAGCAGCTATTGTTACATATTTGATGTCCACGTCATGTGTGTCATGATAAAGTACAACTAAAGAGTCGGTATAATGGTCTGTATCACATACACACACACAGATCTTTATAAGCCTAACAGGAGTTACGCCAAACCCAAATGTAACGAGAGTTGTCTGAGAAAAGTCTCTTCAATCACTTTACATTTATGTACAATTTGTATACGAGCTGTGTCAAATATCAGTTAGTCTGGACAGACGCAAAGATATTGATTTCAATTTCAACCAGCAATTTTCGGGAAAATATATAATATTTTATACAGTTGCTGCTTTTACAAACTTCTGCAAACTACTGGTTTTATAACTTTTGCTAGTTAAGTGGTTGATATATTACAAAATTTTCATTCTGCGTTATGTAAGGAACATGATCGATACTGCTTGCATGCTTAATTTCTGTACCGATGAGCAGAAATAAGATAGGAAATTTTACCTGTGAAAGTATATATCTAGTTCTTGTCTGTAGAGGAATGATGAAAGTCATAAATCATTCGCATATTAATTTCTAATTTATTTAATTTCAGGAGATGATAGTGATCGAAACAAGGACAATGAACCCCTCGCCAGCAATGATGAGTTATCTCCCTTCTCAAACCAGATGGCGCTCTATGAGGTATGATCAGACAACATTAGCTGTACTCTTATCATTACACGATCTCCCCAAATGAGTTTAAATCATGAATCATAGTGCCTAGAGTCATGATATTAATTCAAAAAACTGATAACGAATCATGAATCAAGAGTGATGATTTTTGGCCTGTAGCTTGCTGGGAATTTTTTTATCAGTGTTGTTAAAATAAAATATCTTGACCCATACAAGGTCATGGGTCAAATTCGTATACATTTTCAAACTACCTTCTTCTAACAAACCATGCAGCATAGGGTCATGATGTTCTATACATGGTCTAGCTTCCTGGGGTCCTGTTTAGCAGAATGTGTCTAAGTACATCCCTAAATTATAGAATCTGAAACAGAAAAAAGTTGCAAAATTTACAATGAGCATTCAATTTATTGTTTTAAAATTCCTACGTGGTGCGCTTATTACAGCAGACACTCTTATTATACCAAATATGTTACATCAACAGTCATGATGTACTAAGGAACATATATACCTTTGATATAACGACCACAACAAGATAGCTCTATTATTCCATCCTGAGAAATTTTACTTCATTTTAATACATCCTCTTTCAAGTTCATCACCATATTTGGCAAAATTTATGGATTTTAATCCAGAAGAGTGAAGGCAATATAGAGATGTTACCGTGGCAGAGGCTCCGCCTCTCAGCTCATTGATTCATCTTCTCTTTTATTAATATGGCAATTTCTAAATAGTAATTAGATTTCAGAAGCTATTAAATGTTGTTACAAACAACATTAGACTTAACCAGGCATCAGGAGTTTCGACTTGATGATGTTGGTGAGACGGAGTGTCTGTTTTGAGCGAAGCCCGCAAGATGGCAATGTCAGGCTAATAAGTTTGAAGTAGCCTAGCAGGGTTACACTGTCACAACCAAAATATGGGTTGTTCGGTATAAACAAAATTGCATGTATAGGCAAAAGCTTTTCGATGCCATTTCGTGTAGGTTTAAATACACGCTGACCAACGTCGGCATGTCTCTCTGACAGATCTGTCTGGAGCTCTCACAGGCGCCCAGTCTAAGGTTAAGGTTCAGGGCCTGTGTTTTTCAAAGCTTTGCTAGACTCAGAAAACATAAAAAGATCAACAAAGAGTCAGCACATATCCTGGAACAACACTGGTCGCTTTGAGGTCTGGAACATTTGAAGAATTTGAACCCAGTATGCTGGTATAAGCACTGGTTTGACTTCCAGCTACGGAGACAACTTTATTTAGAATGTCTGAAAAGGGTGTTGCGCATTGATTTGTTTCTTTGTTTGGATTTTGACGTCAGCAAGGGTCATATGAGAACGAGTGCCAAGGGAGACACTGCCCCTGAGGAGAAAACACGACAGGAAACAAAAACAATCTCACGTGTTGCAATACGTGGAGCCTAATTCTTTTGTTGTCTCTTCCATTTCCCTGCTGTAGAAGACACGGAAGAACCTTTGTTTGAATTTTGATAAAATAATTATTTCCTTCTCATCCCCCGTCTCCGTCTGTCTGTCCATATATTTTATACTTTAGAAACTATGACTGCACAAAGCAAAAACTTGGTATGTGTGTTGCCCGAGGTGAAGTCAGGAAGACCTTTATTGATATTGCATAATTTGCCAAGGTCAAAGTAACTTTACTAAAAAATAAAATTTTGTGCCACCATAACTTCCAATTGATGATTCCTCAAAGCTCAATGTCGGTGCACCTAGAGAAGAAGAAAAGTTTTTAGGTCACAACTTCCAACTAAAATGCAATAGCAATATAACATTTCATAAGCAAAGTCCTTCTTAATGAATATCATGTATGTTAAACTCTACAACAGATGTCACTCAGGGGTTTAAAAGCTGCCCCTGGGGGCTCTTTTGTTTTGTCAAGAATTCTGCTTCACTGTAGATGTATGATTATATATTACATATTTACTAATAAATACGGGGATTTTGTATATGCGATACGACACAATTGCTCTAACCCATATCAGCCTTCGCCGTATCACACCCCAAAACCCGTATCAGCCCCCGCCATATCACACCCCAAAACCCGTATCAGCCCGCAAAACCCATATCACACCCCTTTTGGAGAAAAAAAATCGTTTTTCAATATTTCAAAAATAAAAATAAATCATAAGATAGTAGTTTTTATTAGTAATTATGTAATAAACAGAATAAAACACGCCTTTTTCCATATCACACCCAGTATCAATCCTCGACCAATATCCGACCTCGGGCCTTCGGCCCTTGAGCTGATATTGCAGTCTCGGGTCGATACTGGGTGTGATATGGAAAAAGGCATGTATTATTCTCTATATATTCGATAGAGAAATAGAGAATGTTTTGGCCTTCGGCATACAGTTCAGTTATGAAAATACAATTATTGCATTTGTTTCAGGCTGCATGGTGTGAGTGAAATGAATCTGAAATCAATGGCAGAAATATGTAAATTTGTTTTAAGTAGTTGATAATGGTCTTTAAAAGCAATTTTTGTTTAATGTGAAAGGCAATATGACTATTCTTAAAAAAAAGCAGAGCATAAGATAGTCAAATCTTAATGTGACATCGGTTGTTGCTAAAATAGAACTCTTCTTGGTAAATGATCACCTGCTGGGCACATACATTAAAAGTCTGACAGAGTGACACCGAAGCAAATGAAAACTAAGTTGTTTCTTCTGCCATTATCATTACTAAACCAATAGTTGAAAGTTTTATCATCTAAACAATTAAGCGGACTATTCCTCAGAGTAACAGAATTAAAGTGAACATTGCTAAAGTTACAACGGGAAACAATCAGAAAGGAGAAAATTCAATGGCAATGTTATATTGATATATGTGTCTGAACATAAGAGCCTGAGGGATTTTAATACGATGTATATATAAATGCTAAATAGTTTTTTTCATTTTTTTTTTATTGCTTTGTGTAAAATTTTGCCGTTTGCATATAGAATTCTTCAGACACTTTAAAATGAAGACTATTTTATTGTTGTAATAGCAATGAAGACTTATTAACAGAGGCACCACTGGACTAGTCATCCCAGTTTATATAATTTTGTATGTACAGCCATTATTTTTGGAGACAAATTGGCCTTTTTTCTGTACAAAGCTCATGGGCACTAAGCATCTGTCTGTAGTACAAAGCTCATGGACACTAAGCATCTGTCTGTAGTGTGCAAAGCTCATGGGCACTAAGCACCTGTCTGTAGTACAAAGCTCATGGGCACGAAGCATCTGTCTGTAGTACAAATCTCATGGGCACTAAGCATCTGTCGGTAGTGTACAAAGCTCATGGGAACTAAGCATCTGTCTGTAGTAAAAAGCTCATGGGCACTAAGCATCTGTCTGTGGTGTACAAAGCTCATGGGCACTATGCACCTGTCTGTAGTACAAAGCTCATGAGCACTAAGCATCTGTCTGTAGTTCAAAGCTCATGTGCACTAAGCATCTGTCTGAAGTACAAAGCCCATGGGCACTAAGCATCTGTCTGTGGTGTACAAAGCTCATGGGCACTACGAATCTGTCTGTAGTACAAAGCTCATGGAGACTAAGCACCTGTCTGTAGTACAAAGGTCATGGGCACTAAGCATCTGTCTGTGGTGTACAAAGCTCATGGGCACTATGCACCTGTCTGTAGTACAAAGCTCATGGAGACTAAGCACCTGTCTGTAGTACAAAGCTCATGGACACTAAGCACCTGTCTGTAGTACAAAGCTCATGGACACTAAGCACCTGTATGTAGTACAAAGCTCATGGAAACTAAGCACCTGTCTGTATTACAAAGCTCATGTGCACTAAGCATCTGTCTGAAGTACAAAGCCCATGGGCACTAAGCATCTGTCTATAGTACAAAGCTCATGGGCACTAAGCATCTGTCTGTAGTGTACAAGAAATCTCATGAGCCCCTTAACACATCTAGTTAATGTTCACAACATAGTATGATAACATTGAGATCTACACACCTGATAAGAGTTTTGTCAGTTGTCAAGGTTCAAGGGTTAAAGGTCAAAAGCAAAGCAGGATAAGTGAGGGGTATATCTATACAAGCTCCCCTCACTTTGCTTTTATCATTCATATTTTGATGCTTAAACCTTTGGTTGATACATGTAAAATGTCATTGCATTTATGTGACCTTTGACCTTGGTAAATTTTCTCCCCTCCTGCAGGTTTTTCGAAAGAACAGGCCTTAGAGCATTTGAACAAAGTGAAGAATGAAAATCAATCTGCTGGCCCAGTTATAACATTTTGTATCTTTAACTTTTCTTTTCTCACTCGCTGAACTCTTTTACAGTGTTTCCGTCAGCACATGTCTTCATATAGACTTAGCTGTTTTCAGGACGTTAAACTTCGAGCAAACAACAAAAAAACATCTAGATACCTCCTGCTTAAAAAAACAGCAAACTGGATGCTTGTTTCTTGGATACAGTTTCTAATTTTCCTGTAAAGTTGTTATAATATTTTTTCTTCAATATCATTACAGGATGATCTGTCAGAACGAGGCAAGATTTCACAGATCATCAATAGAATTTCCAATTACCAGGCTGGCATCGAACCGAACATCAGCGAACAATACAGCGACAAACCTAAACAGGTGAGCTACATGATACACAATTACACCGCGGAGGTTGTGAAGGCGTGAAAGTTTCTCAACTCACCTTCTTGTGTTCACACGTTTTACTGCGATTGTTTAAGCAGAGATATGCACATTCTGGAATGTTCCCATAATGATTGACTAAAAACCTGTGTAGAAAAGTGTGTAAGTATGAGAAATTGTAGAGAGGTTGTTTTCTTTGATTGAATACCTTCACTTTCCTGTAGTATGGGTGTCTCTGGTTGTGATTTACGTTGTATTGTGAAACAGAAACATTAGAAACACATACAAAATGTTTAAATACAAGTGGCTATGCATTTAAATTTTGATTTAATACCTGTATTTAAAGAGAAGTATATTTTCTTAAACAGCAAAAATAAAAATAAATGGGTGCAGGAATATTATAAACATGTACAAAAGATTTGAATTGTTTACATTTAAATTCTCATGTAATGCCTGTATTCATACAGTATAGCTATACTAAGGGTCATTTTTCAAATTACATAGGCCGCTCTGCAAATGCTGTGTATTATATATCATTATTAAAGAAAAAAATCTTTCTTGAACAGCACAAAATGTGGGTACTGTAATGTTGTAAACACATACAAAAAGTTTCAATAACCGTACTTTGGATTTTTCTTAAGTCGACACTAGATGAATCGTCCTTTACCTCTGTACCGGTTCTCATATTGAAGTATCTTTACTTCAACAGGGAACAGTTTCAATAAAAGAAAATTGTAAAATTGTACAAAAAAAATCAATTACTTAAGATTTGGATTTATTTTTTAATTCAGCAGCATTTAAAATGTCATCGATTACTGTACTTGTTTTCATAAAAAAAAGTTCCCTTTTTTAACAGGGATCAATTTGGAGGTTAAACACACAAATTCTTAAAAAGATTAAATGTTATACCACACCAAACATGTCTGTTGACTTTTTGGCAATTTCAGAAGGAATTTAAAGAAAATATTGTTGTTAGGATGGATTTCAATTTGAAAATTCAATGAAAACATCTGACGCCATCTTTTGATTCTTATAATCAATCTGAGCGTTGCTGAATGTTTGATTTCCCATATGGTTGATACATGAAAACATTAACAAGAAAAAATAAGAAGATTTTAGAATAATTTTCTTCGGTAAAATTTACTTGCTGTAACATGGTAGAATTTGAATACAGGTCTTAGCTGATTTCACCAAAAAGTTCAAAATGAATTGCTGAATTGTTTAAGTCAGATTCTATTCGAAAATTTCTGGTTTCCTTTTTGCTAAGGAAATTTGTTCATCAGTTTCAGTTTCTGGATCCAGTAAAATAGAAGCTTATTGATTCGGTGTTCTACAGAAATCTCTATAATGCTTTTGTTTCATTTCTTGAAGATTTATTTTAATCTTGTAAAATTTAATTCATTGGATGTATCTTTACGGGTTCCCTGACCACTGCCTAACCATTACTATTTGCTGGAAACTCTTTTAATCTACAGAACAATAGTTTTGACAAATCATTTCTTCAAAAAAATCCATATTGGGCAGAACTTTTTACGAAATTAAAGAAAAAATTAACAACAGTATTCTGAAAGAAAAAAATGCAATGGCATTCAAACCCTGGACCTTTCATTATCAAAATTGGATGGAAATTAGGGTCAGGGGAAGAATGCTATAATAGGATCAAACTAGGATTCAAACCATAGACCTTTGATCAGAAGGGGGTTAAAGGGGGCGGGGAGGAGAAGACTATAGGATCAAACTAGGATTCAAACCATAGACCTTTGATCAACAGGGGGTTAAAGGGGGCAGGGAGGAGAAGACTATAGGATCAAACTAGGATTCAAACCATAGACTTTTGATCAGAAGGGGGTCGAAGGGGAGGGGGGGAGGATATAGGATCAAACTAGGATTCAGACCATAGACTTTTGATCTGAAGAGAGAGGGGGAGGCGGTGGAGGCTATATGGTCAAAACTAGGATTCAAACCATAGACCTTTGATAAGAAGGGGGTTAAAAGGGTGGGGGGAGGCTTTAGGATCAAACTAGGATTTANGGGGGGGGGGGGGGGGAGAGGCTATAGGATCAAACTAGGATTCAACCCATAGACCTTTGATCAGAAATTAGTCAAACTACAGTTAAATCCAAAACATAACTAAAGGGAGCTCACCGATGTAATAAATCTACAGTGGAATTCTGCCAGTCTTGCTGCGACAGGGATCCTTAAGATTTGACATAAAACAAAAGATAATCAACAACAGTGTTCTGAGTGTAAAACCATGACAGGGCTGGACTAGGACTTGGACCCTGGACCACAAACTTTTATACTGTCGCTCTAACTAACTGTGCTGCCTCACTAGTCAATGGAAATGCCCTGGCTCACACAAAATCAAGGGGAGGCTACTGTTACTGTATAGGTGAAAAAAGCATTATTGAATTATCTTGTAATTTGCCTCAAGCGGGACAACGTCTCCTTAAGAGCAGAATGTATGAGGCTTTGTTGTGGTGCTGTACTAAGTACAGGAATACATTCCTACTGTTTTATATTGATTGTTCAATCTTCCCACCTTATTGTGTGAATCTGTACCGTGAAAACTTCTCCGACTCGGAGGTGCTTCTTTTGAATTACTGATGTGTCAGTTATCTCCCCTTTGTTTTGGTTAGAGTCACTGAGGTGTTTGTGTAACTGGGTCAATGTTAACACCTTCGTACTGGAGGAAACATTTCAGAAATAGGTTGTCTTGGATCACCATTCCAGATAACTCGCGGACAATTCAAACTTGTGTACTTTAGTTAGAATAATAAAAAATATTAGTTATAAACTTTCAGCAGTTAGAGTAATGCAACAACAGGTTTACCTTTATGTCCATATAATGTGACCAGGAGGAATGCTTGGTGCCTTCAGCATGGTATTTCAGTGAGATAGCACTCTAAAGTTGGCATCACAAGGAGGCAATTACATAAATACCACTGCCAGCACACATAACAGATATATGTTACACACATGGAGGCACAACAATAAACGACCTTAGCTATTAATACGCCACTAAACTCAATAAACTTAATATATACATGTATAACAAGTACAGGAGTTAACTCAAATATTGGTTTAATACATTTTGAAATTTATGGTGAAATATGATACTTTATTGACTTTATTTATTCCATGGTATTAGAGTGTATGTGCTAAGCAGGTGTGGGGATGATCCAGCTAGCTGAAGTTTAGTTATGCCATATTTTTGCTGTACAGCTTTGGTGGGCTAAGTCTTCTGACGGTATCAGAGTGTAGTAATACAGATTAATGGCCCCCGGGTAGCATATAAAATCCCTCTCGCAGGAAGACTCTGGCAACCAATGACATTTAACTCATGATAAATCCACTGTTTTTTGCCTAATTCCACTGCGTAATGTTTCCAGATATTCCTCAAGTTTAAAGCTCCTGTGTTCAGTTACAAATAGCTACCTTGTTTCCAGGTGTCCGTTGTTTGTTCATTCTTCCACATTTTTATATGTTCAGGAAGTTGTGGCTAAATTCTATCAAATTTAGTAGATATGGGATGTGTTGTGTTGAAATGGTAAGATCAAAGCTTACCTCAAAAAGGCTTAGGGAAGGTTTCAAAAATACTCTTCTTAATTTCTGGATAAAGCTTTGGTGTCTTATTTACACATATGTATGCAGGCTTGCAATGAACTTCCAACTCTGCTTAAATTCAGACACTGTGGGCAATAGAAACAGGTAGCCACATCCAGGAATCAGACTGGACACTTGCGCAATAAATAGATTGAGCCACGACCAAGAGATAAATTTGCACCCTGGGGCAATAAAAACATTTGAGCCACGACCAGGTGTAATATTCAGACCCCCTGGGTCAATAAAAAGATTGAGCCATGACCAGGAGTTAAATTCAGACCCTGGGGCAATAAAAAGATTGAGCCATGACACTGACCAGGAGTTAAATTCAGACCCTGGGTCAATAAAAAGATTGAGCCATGACCAGGAGTTAGATTCAGACCCTGGGGCTATACGAAAGATTGAGCCACAAGCAGGAGTTAAATTCAGACAAAGGGTCAATCAAAGGAAAATGGCAACTAGCTTCTCTAATACAATTACAAAAAAACACTTTATGTATTCATTCTCAGTTCACATGATAAACTCTATATCAAGGGAGATATTAGGTTTGTTTACCTGTAACAAGACTTACATTGGATAAACAAATCTTATATCTCCCTCAAACCAGGGCAATACCTGTATACAGTTACTAGACATTGTGTACGCTTGATTTGTTTGTAGAACATTCCAGACAAGGTATGACCAGTTGCTTGATGCTTTGTAGAATTTTCAATCGCTCTATAAAACATTGATTGATCAGTACATATGTGATGCATTTTTTACCCATTATTTGATATCCTTTAGTCCAGTTTTACCATCAGTTTCTTGATCATGTATATTCATATTTAACCATCATTGACCTTTTTACTTTGACAGCAGTAAAAACCTAAAAATGATTAAAAAAAAAAAGATAATGGTCATATTTTTGACTAGTTTAGAATTTTTGTTATATGAAATATTCATGTTTTTTGCCACACATAAACTATAAATATCATGAAATACTTGTGTTTTTTTTTTATATTATGACTGTAAATTGTATATATGTCCCAACAAAGCACATGGGTATGTTTATATTACCTGAATGTAATTTCATCATTTTTAAGGTCCTTTTAGCTCCATACATTTTAAGAAGGCACGATAGCCTAGTGGTAGGATGCCAGGCTTGTGACCGAAGGGTTGCAAGTTTGAGTCACAGCACGGCACTGTGTTGTATCTTTGAGCAAGACACTTTACTCTACTTGTTCTAGTCTACTCAGCTGTAAATGAGTACATGGTTGGGCAGTGCTTGAATTGTTGAATGCTAGCTGTGAGCGCCAAAATGGCAGCTCTGGCTGTATGACCACGGATGATAACTTGTGAACCGCTTTGAGACGACCTACAAACTAGGTTGTGATAAAGCGGTATATAAGAACCTCGAATTATTATTATTATTATTACACATACACAATTAAAGGTAAAAGGTACCAACAAGTTAAGCTATATCACAACCATCGCCACTATTGTGAAATAGTTATGTAAACCTATGTCAAAAGAAGTATTCCTTCAATATCACATGTTACAAGACATTTTACTGAGTTATAGCTGTTGAAAATTTAAAATGTTTTAATTGGAAATGAAACAAGAAATCAGAAAACTGCAAGAGTCAATCAAACGCACAACCTTGATAAACCATACACCTAACTAATATTACCATCGAGGGATTATAAAAACACATCAAATTAACTGTCCAATGTATGGGCCGTTAACCCTCTGACAAACTTAACAAGGAAAGTAACTCTAAGCCATAAAAACTTGTTTAGGTTGTGAAATCTTCTATTTAGAGGGGGAATTAATACTCCAAGTTGAAACAATTCTGAGTGGAACTCTTCATTGTGATTTTGATTTAACTGATGCGGTGGTACCCTTAACTATAAATCCAAAAAAGATATTATTATATTTAGCTATAACGATAGGATACAATTCATGTAATTTAGAATTTTACATTCTTTTACTGGTAATGTTTTTTTGAATTCTAATGAATGTGTCTCATTTGAAATTTTCATTCTTGTTGGAATGTTATCAGAATTCTCATAAATGTCTTCCCCGTTTTATTGTTTTCTTTAAAGTTTAAGCCTCCAGAGATGCAGTGCTGCACTAGCATACAATTTGCAAGATTTGTGTGGAATTTGCTAATATTTTTTATTCCATGATTTAGTTGTTGCATGCAATATCATGGCAAAATAACAAATATTTTTAAACAAAATTCTTTAATTACAGATTTCGGGTTTTGTTGATCCGGCCATTATTATTGTAGCAAAAAAAAAAAATCAAGCATTATTGATGTGACAGATGAACATCAACTATTCACCCCTGAAGACACATTTGAACTCTTTCGATTCAAACGTTGGAATAGTTCATTATGAAATTTCAGGGGTGAATGGGTGAAAGTGTTTTTAATTTTGAGCAGATTGGAAAACTTTAATTGTTGATGTGTTTGTTTGCTTTATAGAGCTGTTTGATTAGTGTGATTCTATTGAGCTGGTTCTGGGGAAGCACAACTGCCTGCCTGTAACTGGTGCCATGGGAGGGGGTGGACTTGCATATACCTTAATCTCTATAATAGGTGCGTGCCCCCTACTCCAGAAAGCACTTCTGCCTACTTTTAACTGGTGCCATGGGAGGGGGGTGGACTTGCATATACCTTAATCTCTATAATAGGTGCCCCCTACTCCAGAAAGCACCTCTGCCTACCTTTCTGATGAAAAATCCATGAACACCGTCAGACTTTGCAATCCATTACAGTCCATATAATATTCCATGATCAGAGTTAATTCAAATTTCCTGTCCTACCATAAATGTTCCTGCCGAAGACCTATTTTTTTGCCATTTCCACAATGAAGAAGGAAAAAATCAAAATGAAATAACAAAAATAGCAAAAATATGAAAGAGTAAAAAATCGGGTTAGTATTGGTATGGATTGTCTTGATAAGACTCTGATATTACGAGTCTGAGAACTTTTCCTTGGACCTGTCAGCTTTAAAGTTATGCAGGTTTTTTACTGTATAAATACAAACTCTTGAAACAATAACTCTGAAGAACATTTGGTGGCTTTAAAAGTAGTTATCTACCAAAATAATGAATTAATTGAATGTTCTGCACATTTGTTTTCATTTAAACAGCAGATGTTGGGGAATGGATATGTGTGCTTACCATTTATCACCTGTGAAAAGCCTATATTCTGTAATAAGCCCCTCTTCCACCCCCACCCACTTTCTTAAACACCTTATACGTTGAGGGTATAGTGTCTGAAGATTATTAGCCTGCATGTAGTAAGGTAAAATGCAGGAACAACCAAGGTATGTATTTGATGCTGTTTCTCAGGACAAGCCTCCAAATCCTTTGTGTGTAATAGTTGATGCTAGAAGCTTCCATCACTGATGTTAAAACCTTAGTTATAGTACCGTATTTATCCAGTAATAAACCCATGCCTGGTAATAAGCCCACCCATGATAGATACAGTTTGGTTGAAATGCTAACAAATTAACATTATTTCACTGTCCTCAAATATGCCCACCCTTTTACCATGAGTTAACGAGTTATGTGTTCCCCCCCCCCCCCCCCCCCCAACTTATTGGAAGATAAATACGGTATGTTTAATGGCAACACATGAGATCGGATGTTGAAAAATATGCTTTGAATTACATCAAATGTGAAATCTGGATCCTTCTAGAGTTTTATAATAATTATTATGATTGATAAACACATACCAAGCACAACTGTTACGTTATATTTCGTTATCAAAATTGATGTGAATGATATTTGCGAGGAAACGTTTAACCAACCACTCATTTATTTGTCGTTTGTGGCAGGCCCCAAGTAGTGTGTCTCAATGCTGTGTATATACTAGACACACAATTTAATGATTTGTCAATTATTTCACAGCTACACAGATTCACCAGAGACTTCATTGAAAAATTATTACTGAATATTCTTTGATGAAATTGATATAGAGTTGTTCTATAAGGTGAGGGTACCCAAAATGTAACATTCTCATATTTATGATGCAGCATTTTTATTTGCAATGCAAATGAATGGTATCTTTTTATATAGTTTACACCATTCAGAGCAAATTTCATCTGTTAAATGAAAAACAATCTCGGGAAACAGTACGTTGCGACAACATAGATATCCGATCACATTTCTAAACATGCAAAAATATGTTCAAACAAATATTTAAATGACTAAGAGACTAAAATTTGTCAGAAATTATCCAAGCTCTCGTGACATGAAGAAAAATAATTTAAATGCTCAGTTATTTTTATAAACTGACTTATATGATGAGGTGTTCCATTTTGTGTACCTGGCCAGCTAAAGTTTCCAAGTATACCTGACCAAACTAACTGAGGTCTATAAATAGACAACCACACTGATGATACCCTGAAAAAAAAATCATATAATGAAGGCTAAAAGCATCTATATCGTTTCATTACAGTAAAAAAAAATGTTTTAGAAACTAAATATTTTTCTTTCAAAAGTGTCCCATTTTGGGTGCCATCACCTTACAGTTCATGGTTCTACTGCTTCACCTGGCTGGAGAGTGTTCATGGACTGATAACAATTTTATGGAATTCCATGGATAACATAGATAGAAATTGTCTGTTGAGTGTTTCCCAAAGGATTACCATGGAATTGTGTGGACATGTTCCATCGAAATCAATTGACAATATCCACTGACAGCAAAGACAATGTCTGATAATTTGAATGTTTTTTAATGCTTCTACTCTACAGCCTTCCAACAGTGTTCACCCAAGATACCAAAATCAGTTCTATTTTAAAGGACATCATTCTCAATTGTTTTCTTCTTGTTTAAATTTTTTATCTGACAGTTGACATTTTTAGGTTGCATGGAATGTATGGAATGAATAATTTGAGAAAAAATATCTTTCTATCATGGTTTCTTCTCCTTTGAATGCCTTTCTTCATCTTTTTCTCAATTGCATGGATGGTTTATAATTGATTTCCAAAGAAAGAAAAAAATTGTAGAAAAGTATCTAAAATGATTACAATGGTCTGGAGATGTCAGTCCTTTGTCATTCCAAAATTTATAAAACTTTGTGTCTAAAAATGAATTGCTATATGCTAAAGGAAAAGTATGGTGTTGATTTTTCTTCTCCATTCTCCACAGTAAAGAAGTACAGTAAGTGGATTAATTTTCTTTGATCTTCAGTGCACTATTTTCCACAACTGTGACCGATTGCATGTTCTTTCTTCGACTATTGTTTTAAATGTTAAGGACACAGTTTCACACACATGTCTTTTTGTTTTTGTAAGAATTTTGTCCCAGTCTGACCCTACACACCTTTCATTTCAGGCCAAGCTTGGGACGTTACTTGGTGTGTACCTGCCAACAATACAGAACATCTTCGGTGTGCTACTGTTTATTCGTATGACATGGATTGTGGGTATGGCTGGGGCTCTGGAGAGCCTCGGAATCGTCATCATATGCTGTTGTACTGTAAGTTTATAGTACCGTATCTGTTTAATTAAGCACCCCTCCTCCACTACACAATCTTGTTATCTTGAGATACAAGAACAACACATTACACGTTACATTCCAGCAATAAGCCCATGCCTGGTAATAAACCCATCCACATCAATTACAGTAGAAATGGCAATACATGTTATTTCATTGTCCTGTGAAGTCCGAGAACATGTGCGAGACCTCTTGGCTTATTCCAGGAGAAATACGGGGATTTCTTTTATCAGTCAGGGAAAAGATGGAAATAATTATTCTAATAACAAGAATGTTTTTCTTGTAAATCTCCATTTCATTGCTTAAAACTCATGAAATTAACTTTCTTTCCAGCATCCTGAATACACCCATAGATCATTTCTCATGATTAAGAAAATATAATAAATGAAACTGTGGATATGCAGTGTTAGAGAAAGACTTCGCTGCTAATGTTTGTAGCAAAGGGTCAGGGTAAGACAGTCAATACATATGTTTAAAAGGAAACACGAGTCAAGCCTATTGAAAGAGGCACACCTATTAAGGTGACTTTGGTAATATTATATATAGAATTGTTTTATGAAATCAAGCCTTGCCTAGGTCAGCATCATAAGACATTATTATGGTAGGATGTTCTACTATAGTTAGCACATTTCAGTATGTGCTCAACCGACATGGAACTAATAAACCTTATTTGATGTTACAAAATAAATTTGGTTCCAGAAATTGATTTTCCAAATAATATCAACCCACCACTAATTATGATCGAGGTTATCGTGTCTAATGTTGAGCCGTTTCACCCGCATGATTATTTCGACAGAGGAAACTCGACAATCCTGCCCTTTTGAAAGGCTGTCTCTAAAATCTTGGCTGGTAGAGTAATGATCTTAGGTATCCCTCATAATGACAATGTCTGATTGATCTACACTGTCCTTTTAGTTGTTCAGTGTGACGTTTGTTCAAACAGGGTCTTGATGAGAAATAAACAAATTCAGGTGAAAGATACTTTTCAAATGGAAATGCTCACGTTTTTCGTTTTTAGTACATTAACGCAAAGATATACACTCACAAATATACACCTATAGGTTATATAGAATACATTGATTTCAGAATATTGCCTACAAGGAAATTTACACATCATGATCAGTTGAAAGATTCTGTATGCAACCATTTCCACTTTGACAGTGGCTTCTATGATTTTCAAAATTGATGTGTTTATAAAATTGTTTTTAATAATTTTCTTGGAATTCTCCATGTAAATGAGATACAGGTATAATATAGAACCGTCAAATCTTCAATGATAAATTCAAAGATTTACCCCCTGTTTTTTTCTGAGGTTTTATTCCACGATCGGACGTGTAAAGGTACTGGGTGATCTGACCGATCACGTGGGTTTTCTTCGGGTACTCTTGTTTTATAGCTCCCTTATTAAAACCCCCGCATGCTAACATACAGGCCAACAAGAGTCAGATTAATATACGTTGGAACCACTTGTTTCATAATTTTTCGTAAAATAAATAAAAGTTTCTATTTTTATTTACATTAATGCAATAATTTCTGTTATGTTAGTTCCAATCCAATGATTCACTAAGTGGCTTTTTCTTCGGGAATAAAATCGTTCAGATTGATAAGGTTCCATGGTACACCCAAGCTAAATAACCCAAGGTTCAATGGTACACCCAAGCTAAATTACACAAGGTTCAATGGTACACCCAAGCTAAATTACCCGGAAACAAGGTTGTACTTTTATACCTCGACTTTATATGCTTTTAATTTTGTTTATGAAAATAAAATTAAGATTTTTTTGAAAGTATGAAATTAGCAGTCATAATTTTCAAATTGATGCTCTACAGGGAGATATAGCATAATATTTCCCCTAACATTTAATACTGGACAAGGTTATATGATATTACCCCTGACATTTAATACTGGACAAGGTTTTATGATTGTAATTCAAACTTCCACAGACAGCAATTTGACGTATGATTCATGGCGTACAATATCAGAAACCACAGAACTGTAGCGCGACGTTGTTTGCTTGTCTCATCCTAATATCAAGCATGTCATTTGCAGACGATGTTGACAGCTATATCGATGAGTGCTATAGCTACGAATGGTGTCGTTCCCGCAGGAGGCTCATACTTCATGATATCTCGATCGCTGGGACCGGAGTTCGGCGGAGCTGTCGGGATTCTCTTCTATCTGGGGACGACAGTGGCCTCATCCATGTATATCATCGGCTCTATAGAGATACTGGTGGTAAATATCTAGTCCAGACGGGTTTGTCTCCGCTAACAAATGCAGTCATGGTATTTTACATAAATGTCAGACATGATATAGGTGATTGTTTGGACAAACAAACAAATTGTTAATTTTAATACATATATGTTCCTACTCAGACAACACTCAGTCTGGCATTGATTCTAGTCTATGTAGTTTCCATCTCTTACCATATCCTGTCTTCATTTCTTACCCTGACTCCGTACCCAAATTGAAAAAAAAAAACATTGCTGATCCTAAACCCCAAACCTTTAAGCATCAGATCTTTCATCCTTATTTTATACCATTCTCAAACCTTGACATGAGATCGCAAAACCCAACCCGATACTTTTAATGTCGAATTCCCAATTCTAATCGCATATTCCAACATGAAATCCCTAAATCAAACAGCATGTCCCAACATAAAATCTCCAAACCCAACCCCACCCCTTAAACATAAATGTCCAACCCTAACCCTGATTCCACAACATAATACTCCTGAATCCAATCTCATACCTTAGCATCAAATTCCCAAACTTGATGCTCCAAGATCAAATCCCCTATCCCAATCCCAAACTCAAACATTCTACAACATTTAATTTCAGCCCCAAAATGTGCCCCTAATACCCTAACATAAAATCCCAATGCAATTCCACCCCCAGGATGATATGCACCATCTCATCCCTCATGCTAAAGCATCAAATCCCAAATTCCAAATCCCAACCCCATACCCATACTAACAAATCTCAAATCCATACCCAACAACAAATCCCACATCCCATCCCCATACCCTAAGAGATAATTCCAAATCCTAACTCCATACCCTAACAACAAATTCCTAATCCCATCCCCATACCCTAACAGATAATCCCAAATCCCATCCCCATACCCTAGCAACAAATCCCTAATCCCATCCCCATACCCTAACAGATAATCCCAAATCCCAACTCCATACCCTAACAACAAATCCCTAATCCCATCCCCATATCCTAACAGATAATCCCAAATCCCAACTCCATACCCTAACATCAAATCCCACATCCCATCCCCATACCCTAACAGATAATCCCAAATCCCAACTCAATACACTAACAACTAACCTGAAATTCCAAACCCATTCCCTAACAAATAATCCAAAATCCCAACCCCATACCTTAGCAACTAACCTTAAATCTCAAACCGTACTCTAACAGATATTCCCAAATCCTAAATCCCAACCCCATACCTTGACAACATGTTTCAGCCCCTTACCCAAACAGAAAGTTTCAAATCACAACCCTATTCCTGATCAACATTAGTCTTAATCCCTGATCTGATAGTCGATAAATATAAGATCAGTTTTGGTAAAAAAAACTTGCAAAATCTTCTTCATGCCCCCACAACATCAGGTGTTTTGTCTTTTCCATGGGTAAGTCAGTACATTTGTATGACATGTTGTTTAGACTTATTATACTAATACCAGAACTCAAACCATGATTAAACTTAACATATGCATTTGTTTTACATTAATCTCCATTTCTTTCAAAGCAGGAGTGAGAGCATATGTATAGTGGTTAAAAAATAATTTTGAGATTACAATATGAACATAATGGCCTCCATCGAGGTCTTAGCATACTGCAAAACATGACCCACTTCAGATTACTGTTTACTAATTCATGGAACTTTTTTTCCCCCAGAAATACATGGCGCCCCAGATGTCTATATTTGGTGACATGGACATACAGGCTAACGCGTTCAACAACTACCGTGTGTACGGGACGTGTGTGCTCATTCTCCTCGCCATCATCGTGTTTATAGGCGTGGCCTTCGTCAGTAAATTTGCTGCGTTATCTCTCGCCTGTGTCATTCTGTCCATCTTCAGTATATATATCGGCATCTTCGTAGCTAACCCGGACAGTAGTTTATCGTAAGTAGTTTGACCTATACAATTATGCAAGCTTTTAAATATTTTTTTTTACAAAGACAACCCATAGCACATTTTATTGAAGTTTTATTTTAAAAAGCATTACATATGTAGAGAGCAATGGATTAACCATGAATTGAATAAAAGCAACCTGGAAAATTGCTATCATAATTGTAAATAACATGTTTTGGTGTTGTATATGTTTTGTTTGGGAAATGTTTGGTCTTCAAGTGAGTCGTGTACGAGAATGTTGTATCAAATGGTACGTTTGTGAGGATGTTGTGTGTCTAAGGGTGTTATGTGTTTATGAAAGCTTTATATTTGATGTTGTCCATATTAAGATCTGTGTGTTTTATTATAAACCCTAAAATGAAAATCTAGCTGGTATTTAGTCGTTATATTGTCCGTCTGTGTCACCAGATCTCCATGTGTCTGATATCCGAAGCTAATAGTTTTCTGGATGAGAACTTTCAGAATTTATCCTATGTAAACCAGATTTGGAGAATTGATGCCCCAAGGAGATTGTGAGAAGCCTGTTGATTTTGGGGTCACTAAGTTATAGGTCAAGGTCACAGTGGCTATAAATAGAAAATTGTTTTTGGAAAATGTTGTTTATGGATGATATCTCTAGAAAGATACTTCAGATCTAAACCAAACTTTAAAGGATAACGTCCCCTTGGGAAGAGAAAGATCCCTTTTGAGCTGAGGGTAACTAGGTCAAAGGTCAAGGTCACAGTAGCTATAGATAAACTGCAATTTTGCAAAATGTTGGGTTCGGGATGATAACTTTGGAACAATCAATTTTATGTAAGTCGTTGTTAGATGAATGATGCTTCTAGGGGATGGGGGAAAGCCTAACAATTAATGATGTGTGTTGAATTAGATATTGCTTCTGTGAGGATGTCGTATTAGATGTTGTGTTTGTCATATTAGATGTTGTGTTTGTCATATTAGATGTTGTGTTTGTCATATTAGCTGTTGTGTTTGTCATATTAGATGTTGTGTTTGTCATATTAGATGTTGTGTTTGTCATATTAGCTGTTGTAAGTTGTTGTCGTTTAAGCATGTTTGATAAGATCTGTTTTATTTCAGCATGCTACTGATGCTACTACACTGTAGAATTAATACCGACGAGGTAAACATTGATGCGGTGTGTTGCCCTCTGACCTTTCTCCGTGTAAACATATGATTGTCTCTGATTGACCTTACTAACAACTCCCATTCATCAAACATATCATTATTATTAAATTAACAGATTTCGTTCAATTTTTTAAAACACAATCATAACCATATTTGGCATTGATTATAGAGTTTTTTCAGATACTAACTTTAATACTGATAGATAGAGATTAAGGTCATTGGAGTGTATTGATAAATGGAAACAGGAAGTACATCCCTATAGTTGAAAATCCAATGTAGGGAGACAGTATCACAATTTCCGAAAATTCTTATGTTTAATATTAAACTGATGAATATTGTATGTTTATTATTGACAGAACAGTGTGTTCTCTCAATATTAAAGTATTTCAAAGCAATCCAGGCATTAATTCAGGTGGGTTTTTTATCTGATGGTTTCTACTCCTAAACTCCCAAAAAAATGTTACTCGAAATTAATAGCCTTTCAAAAGCATGCAATTCTGCGGGGTGATTTGAGAGGAACTGTTTGGCTCTCGGCTATTAAATGAGACAATTGCAATCGTAAAAGTCATTAGAGATTCATTTCCAATAATTGATGATTAGTTTAAGAATTCTAATTTAATAGATCTGGAATTTGATAACAGTTTGTTTTCCCCTTTAAACGGAAACAGATAAAGAAATTTTACCTTGTTAGATGGAAATAATAGCATCAGTAATTTTTATATGTAAATGCTGGACAATTCCTCTGATAAATTCAGATATTTAATGGCCTTTTAAATAAAATATGCAACTCCTTTGGTTTTTAGGTCACCTGAGCTTTAGCTCAAGTGACCTATTGCTATCCGTTTTCGTCCGTCGTCGTCCGTCGTCCGTCGTCCGTCGTACGTCGTCCGTCGTCCGTCGTCCGTCGTCCGTCGTCCGTTAACATTTTACATTTCAAACTTAAAGTCAAGTTCTGCTGGGCCGATTGAACTGAAAGTTGATAGGAATGATCGCCTCATGGTCCTGACAAAGTGTTGTTATTTTTCGGGTCGATCAGAAATCCAATATGGCCGCCACGGCCGCCATTTTGAAAACCTATTTCAAACTTAAAGTCAAGTTCTGCTGGACCGATTGAACTGAAAGTTGGTAGGAATGATCGCCTCATGGTCCTGACAAAGTGTTGTTATTTTTCGGGTCGATCAGAAATCCAATATGGCCGCCACGGCCGCCATTTTGAAAACCTATTTCAAACTTAAAGTCAAGTTCTGCTGGACCGATTGAACTGAAAGTTGGTAGGAATGATCGCCTCATGGTCCTGACAAAGTGTTGTTATTTTT